CGTCAATGTTTTCATTAAAGGCAGACTTGTCTCTAAACTGTCAAGGAGTCAAGGTTAGGGGTTCTTCATGCAGGCACATTGCACATTTTGCATCGGTAAAATTAAATGACATACCAATGAACTAAAATCGGAAACTTTGGAGACATCCTGCAGGGGATGAGGAAAAGAATTAGTCTTCATTGAGGAAAGCTACTTCCCATGTGAAAATGGAAGCACAGTGCAAACAAGATTCCCGAAGGATAAGGCTTACCCAAGTGGCAATTGCTCCTGTAGCAAAACAAGAAGGCAAACAAAGATCAGATCAACATTCGTTGCACAGGAAATAGACATTGAATCTGATCAATCTTATGCACACCATATGGACTTGTAGGAGAAAAGTCATCTGCAGCAATGGCTGCTATAAGTGTTGGCCGATCAAAAACAAATACACCAACAGTGGGTGTGCTCGTTGGAACCGGCGTTGGCATCTTAGTGGGTGCTTTTGTGGTGCCTTTGTGGGTTGCCTTTGTGTGCTTTGTGGTGCTTTGTTGGGCTTGGTGGGCTTTAGTGGGTGCCTTTGTGGGTGCCTTTGTAGGTGCTTTGGTTGGAGCTTTAGATGGCGCTTTAGTGGGTGCCTTTGTGGGTGCCTTTGTGGGTGCCTTTGTAGGTGCTTTCGTTGGAGCTTTAGATGGCGCTTTAGTGGGAGCCTTGGTAGGCGCCTTGCTTGGAGCTTTAGATGGTGCAATGCTAGGCTTTGAGATGGAACATCAGAAGGACTGATGCTAGGCAGCATTGATGGCCTATCTGATGGGCCAGTGGAAGGCACATCTGATGGAGCTACACTAGGGCCAGAGGATGGAATATCAGAAGGGTTAATGCTGGGAAGCGTGGATGGTCTATCTGATGGACTGCTGGATGGCAGCATTGATGGGCTTGATGATGGAGATGCAGAAGGAATTCTAGATGGGCTAGAGCTTGGATTTGTGGATGGGAATGAAGAGGGGCTTATGCTGGGGCTTGAAGATGGCATGTCAGAAGGGATGATGTTTGGAAGCTTAGATGGTCTATCTGATGGGCTCAGCGAAGGCAGCATAGATGGACTGGTACTGGGACTCTCAGAAGGCAGGTCAGATGGACTGGTGCTGGGGAGTTGGGATGGCACATCTGATGGGCTAGTTGAAGGCATCTCAGATGGATTGGTGCTGGGAATCACTGAAGGCAGATCCGATGGACTACTGCTGGGGTTGGTGGATGGGGTATATGAAGGACTGATGCTTGGTGCTATGGAGGGAGCACCAGATGGGCTGGTGCTTGGAACCATTGAAGGAGCATAAGATGGGTTTGAGCTGAGATCCATAGATGGTGCAATTGATGGACTAATAGAAGGCATGCTGGATGGATAGATGCTGGGGGTGGTTGATGGCACTCTTGATGGAACATCTGAAGGGCTGGCTGAAGGTGGCGACGATGGGCTCATGCTTGGTACATTACTTAGGCTAGGGTTCCCAGATGGCATATTCGATGGGCTACTTGTTGTTGTTGGGCTTGTGGTGGGATTCCCTGGGGGTACAGTGGGTTGTGAGGAAGGGGGAGATGTTGGCATCTTTGAGGGGTAGGAAGAAGGCATTGAAGAAGGGATGACCGAAGATGGTGAGGGTGGGTGATAGCTTGGTGCATTGCTTAGACTTGGGCTCTTCGATGGAATTTTTGATGGAACACTAGAAATGCTTGGGCTGGTAGTGGGACTCCCCGCGGTAATGGTAGGGAGTGAAGAAGGGGCAGACGACGGGGCCATTGAGAGACCATCAGAAGGTGGTGAGGATGGGCTATCGCTTGGCTCATGGCTTAGGCTTGGGATCTCCAATGGGCTTGGTGATGGAGCACTAGAAAGGGTTGGGCTGATAGTGGGATTCCCTGGGGTAATGGTAGGGAGCGCAAAAGGGGTCGACGATGTGGCTGTTGTTCTTGTTGGGACGTTGGTCGGTCCTTTTGTGGGTGCTCTTGTTGGTTGGGTTTGCAAAACTGTTGGCCTGAGAGATGGACTATTGCTTGAGGGATCATCAGATGGACCAAAAGTAGGATCCGAGGATGGAGTGTCTGATTGCTGAGGAGATGGTAAGATTGACATAGATGGATCTAATGACAGAGGTCCAGATGGCATTGAGGATTGATAAGTGCTTGGAGTTGAAGATGGATTGGCCAAATTGGAGGGCATTGAGAGACCAGAGCTTGGATTCGTCGATTGCAATAATGATGGGCTTGAAGATGGTGTGAACGATTTTGAGGGCATGGAGGATGGACCAGAGCTTGTATTAGTGGAAACAATCCTTATTGTGATTTCCAAGGGTGTCCCTTGCAAACCATTGAGAGATGGTACTGCCCGAAGAAGAAGAGAGTCTGTTGTGGTTACCAGAGTTTGGCTGGGGCGATAATTTCCGTCACCATCTTGTCCTGCCAGGGAATATGGTATCACAGTCGCAGTACCCATCATGACACCATTCTCATAGAAAGCTACACCATCCAGTGAAACTGGGTTTGTGATTACACGCATATTCAGGTTGGGCATTGGTTGATTATGCAATATTCGAGAATTTTGCTGGCGGTGGATATCAAGAAGATCAATCACATCCCCATTGGTAATCTCCCTTACATCCTCACCAGTATCGGCATTCACAAGCACAAACCCAATGATTTCAGAAACCATCGTGTCAAGCACAGCCACAGCCTGCGCGGAACCTCCAGAATCGGAAATTGAATCGGTAATGGACTGGACGATCTGGGCCAGGTTGGAGGGTTCCTGGACTTGCTCGCTGATTCCTGAAGGGCTGGAACTTACAGACAGCTCAACCGCTATTCCATTTTCCAGGGGTATCTCCCCAACAACCAGCACGCCAACAACCAGCGGCCCATCTTGGACTGAAAGGGAGTTGAATGCCTCAGTGAAGCTTGAGGCCAAATCGTGAGTGTCGACCAGCCCCCCACTGGTGCCTCGAAGGTACAAAGAATGTGTCGTCACAACCACCCATCCAGCGTGGAGAGGACATCAACAGCCTGCGCGGAACCTCCAGAATCGGAAATCGAATCGTAATGGACTGGACAATCTGGGCAAGGTTGGAGGGTTCCTGGACTTGCTCCTGATTCCTGAAGGGCTGGAACTTACAGACAGCTCAACCCTATTCCATTTTCCAGGGGTATCTCCCACAACCAGCACGCCAACAACCGCGGCCCATCTTGGATTGGGAGGGGTTGAATGCCTCAGTGAAGCTGAGGCCAAATCGTGAGTGTGACCAGCCCCCCACTGGTGCCTTCGAAGGTACAAAGAATGTGTCGTTCACAACCACCCATCCAGCGTGGAGAGGACATCACAGCCTGCGCGGAACCTCCAGAATCGGAAATCGAATCTGTAATGGACTGGACAATCTGGGCCAGGTTGGAGGGTTCCTGGACTTGCTCGCTGATTCCTGAAGGGCTGGAACTTACAGACAGCTCAACCCTATTCCATTTTCCAGGGGTATCTCCCCAACAACCAGCACGCCAACAACCGCGGCCCATCTTGGATTGGGAGGGGTTGAATGCCTCAGTGAAGCTGAGGCCAAATCGTGAGTGTCGACCAGCCCCCACTGGTGCCGTCGAAGGTACAAAGAATGTGTCTTCACAACCACCCATCCAGCGTGGAGAGGACATCCACAGCCTGCGCGGAACCTCCAGAATCGGAAATCGAATCGGTAATGGACTGGACGATCTGGGCCAGGTTGGAGGGTTCCTGGACTTGCTCGCTGATTCCTGAAGGGCTGGAACTTACAGACAGCTCAACCACTATTCCATTTTCCAGGGGTATCTCCCCAACAACCAGCACGCCAACAACCAGCGGCCCATCTTGGATTGGGAGGGCGTTGAATGCCTCAGTGAAGCTTGAGGCCAAATCGTGAGTGTCGACCAGCCCCCCACTGGTGCCGTCGAAGGTGACAAAGAATGTGTCCATCACAACCACCTCATCCAGCGTGGAGAGGACATCAACAGCCTGCGCGGAACCTCCAGAATCGGAAATCGAATCTGTAATGGACTGGACGATCTGGGCCAGGTTGGAGGGTTCCTGGACTTGCTCGCTGATTCCTGAAGGGCTGGAACTTACAGACAGCTCAACCGCTATTCCATTTTCCAGGGGTATCTCCCCAACAACCAGCACGCCAACAACCCGCGGCCCATCTTGGATTGGGAGGGAGTTGAATGCCTCAGTGAAGCTTGAGGCCAAATCGTGAGTGTCGACCAGCCCCCCACTGGTGCCGTCGAAGGTGACAAAGAATGTTTCCTCTACCATTTTCCAGTCATCCAAGGTTTCCAAGACATCCACTGCCTCAAGCCCTTGGTTTGTGATTCTATCAGTAAATGTAGATTCAAAGGTTGGCATATTGTCCTCAGATAGAATTTGCTCCACAATGTTGACTGCTGGGTTGTTGTTTACAGCAAAGTCAATGGCGACAATGTTGTGAGTTTCGCTGAGTTGACTTTGTGCTGCAACTGATATGTCATTCAAATTGATCTGATTGTTTTGCAGGTTTGTTGAGTCTATGGCAGCAGCAACAAACACTGAAACAAGAGGTCCCTCAGGTAGATTGCTGCTGATTGGTGTTTCTCCAGTGAGGACAACAAAAACATGACTTGTTTCGAGTATGCCGGTGGTTGGCTCATGGGTTGGTTCTGGTGTAGGTTCAGGGGAGGGTTCAGGGGTTGGTTCGAGGGTGGGTTGGACAGTTGGTTCCTGAGTTGGATCATTAGTTGGATCATTAGTGGGCTGTGGTGTTGGTGCAAGGGTAGACTCAATAGTGGGTGTGAGTTGGGGTTGAGGGGCTGCAGCCCCAGGTGTTGGTGGCATGTCTGTAGGAACATTTCCATTCTTGTTGGTAAATGATTTGAGATTTTCAACTGCAGAGGGAGGCAGACTTTGCTTCTTGATACATGTGGGTGCAGCTGGTGAAGTTGAAAGTATGATTGTGGGTCTACCGGTTGGCGAAATGGAAACCTCAATAGTTGAAGGCCTATGTGCTGCAAATAAAAGAAGGCCTTCAACAGTTTCATTTGACAGCACTGTTGGATGGCCCATAGGAACAGCAGCACTCGGCTTTGCCACAGTAGAACTGGTGGGTGGGCCCTCACGAGGAACACTATGAGGGCTCGTTGCGGCAACAGGTCCAGTAGATCCACTTGGGCGTCCTTCTGTTGTTGGAATGGCAGCAGCAACATTGGGTGGGGTTTCTGGACCATGAGGACTACCAAATCCAGATTGAACTGTGGGTCTTTGGTTGTTGTTACCAGGCCCCCCAAGACTAACACTTGGTGCTGCATTGGTAGCTCCCGCAGGAGTATTCCCTGTAGCACTTGGAGGATCAGGATTACTGGGGAAAGCAGCGGTGGACCCGCTGGAATCTGTTGGTAATGGATTGTTTTGGGCAGCAGGGGCTTGACTGTTGGTACTTGTGGTTGATGGAGCTTTGTTGATACCGGTATCATTGGTGATGGAGGGCGCCTCTATAGTACTGCCGTTTGTGGCGGATGGAGCCTGGTTGTCAGGGTTGTTGCTGGTGGTGGGTGTACTGCCTGGGTTGTTTTTGTTGTTTCCATTTGAGGCTGATGGGGCCTGATTGATGCCCCTGTCTTTGGCTGAAGGTGCCAGGTTGTCTTCGTTATTAATCAGGTTTGGAGTGGACGGGGCCTGATTGTTTGATGTTGTAGCAGTCGGCTGGTCCTCTGGTGTGGCAACGGGGGGTTCCTGGTCATTCGGTGCTGTTTCATCGCCTCTATCACTGTTTTCTGGAAGACTGCTTGTAACGGGAGGAATCTCCTTGTTGGGAACCTCCATCTTCTCTGGCATGGTTCCCTGGCTTTCAATAATCACATCTGGGTTGTTTGGATCCACAGCATCAATATACACAATGGGGGTATTCCGTGTCTTGGGCGTGGATGGTTGTGGTTGGGTTAGGGTAGGGCCGTCAGCTTTCTTAGTAGTGTCATCGATGGTAGCAGCAATCTCCGGCGACATGCGAGTAACAAAATCATCGAACCTTTCATTGATGTCTATATCATTTGCTGACTCTTCTGGAGCACCTGGACTTGGGCCCTCATCAAATAGGGGATTGATGTCTGGGCATCCGATACAGCTAACATTGGATTCCCAGACTGTGAGTGTCAAAGGGGTGTCTCCAGCTGTGATATTCTCAACCTGGACAAGTTCATTCCCCAGCATGAAGCGCTCATATTCATCAGCACAGGCATCAGTCTGGTTTTTGAAGATGTCGCGGAATGCTTCTTCCAGGTTGTCTTTGTTGGCATTGACCTCCTCGGGAGTAACATTCTGCACAACTAGACGCGTGATGCCCATCTTGACCACATAATCATCAGCCGAGGAGCTATTACAAAGAGGTCTGGAGTAGCTGTCAGCTGGTGGGGCTGCACCGGGAGTCCGAGTGGTCATCACCGCAGCAGTAATAGCGATGCCAGCGGCCACAGCCGCAGTTGTTGTAGCAGCGAGTGTTGATCGTTGGGCTGTTGGAGCTGCCTGCATTGCTTGAGGCCCAGCAGCAACATTTGCATTGGCTGCCTTGGTGGCTTCCACTGACATCTCTTTATAGACTGTTGGATAGTCCTTCTTTTCTTCGTCTGGCTCATCCAAGCCAAACCATCGCTTACACCCCAATGCACCTAAGAGATAGCTGATGATAAGTCGGGGCCACTTGAATAGCCACCAGCAGAGATCATATAGATTTAGCATTGCAAGTTCAGTCAATGCACTCTTGATGAAGCCGTCACGAATTTGTTGCTCAAGTTTGTCAGGATCAATAGAACCAGCAGACTCACTGTTGGAGTCTGCTTCATCGACACCCTCTACTGCATCTTGTAGCTCAATCTGAACTGACTTGTAATTGGTTGGGTCCTCCATGAGTTTGGAATCAATCAAAGAGTGACTGGGGAGGCGTGGGCCAGACCAGTCATCATCGTCATCTTCCGGTGCTTCCATGAGGTGGGATGACGCAAATCGAGGAGGCCCATTACTCCTTCTGGAATGGTTCCATACAGGGATTTCACCCATTTCTGCTGTATCTAACGGGGCGTCCAGCAAGTCAATCTCATCTTCTGGAAATGTTGCCATATCGGGTTCAGAGGCGAATGGCCCGTCCTTCGGGGCTTGATCGTCATCCATTCTTGGCTGTTTTTTGGAGGACAAGAGTACTGTTTTGTTAGATCATTGTCAGCCAACACCCCAAACGATCGATTAGACTAATTGATAGGATTCACAGTTTTTCGATTTATTTCTTCTGGCTCATGCTTCGAATCTCGAGGACTTGCTCTCTTATCTTCCATTGTCCACTTACCTTCCGTATACCTGGAAGTTCTTTCTGTTGATACTGTTCGTGCGAACAATATTACAATACGAGTCAACTGATCGGATGTGTGTATCTATATGGTAGAGTGGACTGTGGGTGTTGAGAAAATGCGTTCCAAGAGGAGGATCGAGGTCACTCAAAAATAGAAGTTGTCCTCTTTTGGTTTGTGACGAGATACTAGACTATGCATGCAGGGGGAAACTCTCTCGATCGCAGCGATGCGAGATGTGAGACAACGATTGCATCGTCTGAAGAATGTGTCCAAGATCTACTGGATAGGCTTCGCAAATCCCTTAATACAGTATCTATACTGTAGCTCTCAAGGAGTACAGCCCCTGTTTCACCAAGAGCCGCCACAACAGAGCTAGCCTAGCGGTACGGGTACTTCTGGCCATTGAGGATTTTAAGATTGTGAAACAGTACCGTACAGTGCTCTGAGAAAGGATTAAAAAGCCCTTCAGAAGTAAATGTCCAAGAAGCTCATAGCAGTCTCGAGTCTACTGTGACTCTTCTAAATCCATCGAGCTTCAACCCAGCATTATGTCATTCTACTAGCTAGCTAGCTAGCTAGAGTAATGATAACGTCCCTACTAGCTAGCTAGCTAGTGCCTGTCGTCCCTTGCATTGAGAACTGTTTGAAGTTGAGCTTCAAACTGTTCTCAAGGGTACCGTTATGGGGGAACGAGAAACGAAAGACGATGGAGGGGAAAATGACGTGTCCAAGGACCCGAGCAAGGGTTCATCGGTACAGTAACAACCCTAACCCCAACTATGCTCGTGATGCCGCTGCGGCGTTACGGCAGGGTTTCGTGTGCTTTGGATACCGGTAGGTACTCGCAGGCTTATTGAGCATTCCAGAGAAAGCATCCTGGGTCCTGGGCGACCATGGCACCATCCATGTGACGCACTTACTGTACTTTGAAAGTAAGAGTGGCAACCCTCCAAAGGACATGCAAAGCAACAGTCAACATCCAAGCCAGTAGCTAGCTAGATAGTCTAGTAGTGATGAAGTTTCTTCTTTGGTTGTCTGTGATTTGTGTGGTGTGCTGTACGGCTTCCGGAGCTTTTTCTACAATAAGAATTGATAATAGAAGTCCAAGTCAAAGATGCTTGCATCCAATAATAAGACAACGACGGCGAAGATCATCCGTGGTAGTACTACATGATTGGGGCTGGGGTCCTGGACAATCGCGTCCTCCTGCCTTGGACAACAACATTAATCGACAACCACCAGTGGTAGCGGATGACGATATTTTTGTGGTGGAACAACAAGTGCGAGCCAGTGCTCAAGCCCGCGTGGATCAAGCCAGTGTGACTCGCGCCGTGGAACAAGTCTCACCTCCCGTCGTATCGACCTGGAGTATTTCCGTGGCGGCGGGAGTGGCAGCAGGGATTGCCTGTTTGGTCGCCACACAAAGTTTGGTTTTAGCGGGCATGGCCACGGCAGGAATTGCCTTTGTCGCCAGTCGCAATCCCACTGAAGAAGACAATCCTGTTGGGGCCATTGCTAGGATGGTGAGTACTGATACCTATTTGTGTATACCTTTTTTTGACTTGCTGTGTTGTATAGTTTTCCTCACTTGTCTCTCTCTATCTTGATACCTTGATATTTTGTCATACAGTTGGGCCGGAAAACACTCGATACAGTCGTCGAGGTCACCCCCAAGGCCAAGGCACTGGCACGGGTTGCTCTTTCGGGACAAGATGAACTCGACCAACTAAGGATGGAAAAGGAACAACTCCAAACCGAAGTGAAGCAATTGCGATTGTGGAAGGCACGGCGGACTTGGATTGATGAACGAGGACCCGAGTACAATCTACAACAACTCAAAGAGCTGGCCCGACAAAACAATCTATTGGTGGGCGGTACCAAGTCGCAGATACTCATGCGATTGATTGAAGCTAGGATTATTCGAATTGATTGATTGATTTTACATGGAGGTACTGAATGGAAGTGCTGAATGAATGAATGGATTGAATAGAAAGAAAACGAAAAGAATAGGAAACGAAAGGAAGGAATAGTGAAAGTGAAGAAGGATGCTATGATAGAAAGAACCTGCTTTTTCCAGAAGCTGCCACCCACCTTTGCGCTACCGATGGGCGGAGCTGACAAATTATACCCAACAATAAACGTGTCTCATCAAGGCAGACAAGTATGGTAGTGCCACGACGAACGAACGAACGAAAAGCGCATCTCGGATGTTTTCAATGGCTGCAACTCATGCATCACACAGAGCCTCGTTACAACTGGAGAAGAGCTGCATGACAGCTTTTTTGTCGCCGACGGCAGCTCGTGGTGGTGCTGCCACCCGAAGATGAGCTGACGAATTCCTAGCTAGTAGCGGAGAGGTACCGATACATGCCAAAACTAGAATATGCAAAGACTATCTTGCTAGCTAGAACGTACCAGTGCTTATGACCGTAATCCGGAGGCAACCATGGCGCCATGGTCGCACCTGGAGCTCCGCCACTGACGTCAGCTGCAATGTTCAAGGTTTAACACAGTAGAGCTGGTGCAAATACACTTTTCCAGAATTGATTCGATTCGATTCGATTCGATTCGATTCGACACAAGTCTGGTCTTCAAAAGGTACTCAAAGCGTATTGAGCCTATCTTACCACAGATCTACTTAGCCGGTCCTTGCTTGCATGCTTTGACTCTATCCTGGATAAAAAAGAAGTCCGCATTCTACTCGCGACCCAACCATTGGATTGGTCCAAACTAGTACATCTCGTACAGGCCACCTGCGCGCCGCACACCATCGCAAAACCAGCTTGTATAAAACGTAAATTGACTAAATAATCAGCGAAATGCAAAAAGTAAAATTTAAAATACCTTGCTATTAAGAATGTCCGTGACGTGCTTCCACTGCCTTTGCCATCTATGCTAGCTAGCTAGCTAGTACCTAGCTAGTCATGTTACAGCTACAAATAGCTTGTTCACTACTACATTACCACTACCATCTAACTGTATTGCTTTAAAGCTTGCTCCCAGCCAGGGTTGCTTGAGATATTACAGCTGGGAGCAAGCAGCAAACCACACGCGCATTCCAACATGTAATGGATGGCTCTTCTTTTGTTCTCAACATGCGTGAGCTTGCTGTTCATTGTTTTAAACTTTTCGGATTCTGCTTGAGTGACATCAAATAGCCTAACCAATTGTGAAGTTTGTTCATCAAGTCTGGCTCCAAAGCTTGGACCGGCAGCCGGCAAAGTCGCACCCAAGCCAACATATTGTTCTAAGTTTTCAAAGAAGCCCTGCCTTCCACCACCAAATGATAAAGGATCCGCATCTCCTAGAAGAGGGTAGCCTGTATAGAATTCTGATTTTCTGGCTTCTGCAGTAGTCAGCTTGGCACCATTCTTATGCTCCACGTCCCTTTGGTACATGTACCGACCAGGGCTGACAGAAGAGCTTGCGACCATTCCGGCACGGACCCATTGCCTTCGATTCTTGTCCCAATAGAAATAGGCACCGTCAACTCGCATTGTAATAGTAACCAGCTTGAAGTTGGATGGATCAGCCAGCAGGTTGTCCGTTGGTTTAAGACACCCCAAATCGTCCACAATCATGTCTTTCATAACAAACAGTGCACATACATAACCAAGTGTCTTTGCTTGGAAGTCCCAGCACCAGTTGGCTCTGTTATGTTCTTTAACACGCTGACTTCCATTGACCAGCCATTCCAATCTAGCAACTAACATTGACTGCAAAAAATCTGCTTTCGATAGCAAAGTTGGATCAACATCGTTCATACCAAAACCAAACAGCCGACCTGCCTCGTTCCTCCACGAGTCGGTTCTCATAAAAGTAGATGCCGATACATAGTCATTGACACTGAATCTGGACAGACTACGACAATCACAATTTCACCGCTCCAAATGTGGCGCATTGAATTGGTTTTTGCGTCTTTTGTCACCGCTCTTTTGGTTTTACTCAATAATCACCGGTTTATTCTTGCATTCAAATAGGCTAGCACAACCAGGCACTTTTCGGTCTCCGGTACAATAGATCCGTGGATTTCCCCTTTTTGGGGGGCCAACCCGCAGCCAAATCTCTGGGCCAATCTCTTGTTTTGTTGACCGTCGGAAACGTTCGAACATGGACAAATGCTTGCAGCTCTGGCTTAGTCGGTCCATCAAAATGCGCCAATGTAGCTTGAGCAAAATCTAAGTTGCCTAATTGCAGAGCTTCATTCAGCTTCTTCTCGCATGCTTCATTAGTATCGATGAGATCTTTGTATCGTTTGCACTCTTTCTGATACAGATTCTCCTGCTTGGCATTGGCTGCTAAGATCTTGGTGGCACGGAGCTGTATCTGGTACTCATGATCAAGGCATTTTGCACGTTGACGATGCTCCTGGGAGACACCTTGATGTTTGGGAACAGACTGTCCCTCAGAATCAAGATCCATGGGGAACCCCAAGTCATCAAAAACAGTTTCCGCCACATGGCCATGATCAATCACTTCCTGGACCAGTCTGGGAAAATGATTCTTCATAAGATTGACTTCATCTATTTTCATTTGTTTGCTGCATGTTGAAAGTATTCCATCAAAGTCTGGCAATGCCAATCCCTGGACTCCAAAAGGTGTTGATACCATGCCATTTTCATAAAAGCCGGCACCAATAATATGGGATGAAACAGCCTTAGACAATACAGCTGGATGCTTGCTAATGAAGTCAATCAATGCGTTCAGTTTCCGTGAGGGCAGGTTCAATCCAATTTTATGTCTGGCTCTTGCAAATGTATTGCAAATCTCATTCTTAAAGCTATGAGCAGCCGGTGGAATATCTTTGTTCGTTGTAGATTTGCCTATTGCCTTTTCCAATTTGAATTTGGGACTCAGATCAGCGGCCTGTTCAGTTGCAGACCGTGCTGCAGACTGCTTACATGGGTGTATCTTCCTCTCTCTATATTGACTGAGAGTAGATTCTTCGGCGATCGTTGCCAACTGGGCAATGTCGCCGTCACACCAAGCCACAGCAGTCAGGCTATCAGGGATAGGAGTTCCCCGTTCCCACCCCTCTTTCACACGTATATTATCAACCCAAGGCAAGAAGCAATCTTTTATAAAATGCCTATACTTGACTTTATCTGTTTCATTGTCGCCATCATTGCGAACAAAAACAACAAAGCCCGGGTCCTCACGACTAACCGAGACACCGCCACCACCAACACACAAACCATTGATTTGGAGAACCAACACTCCATCCTTGCATTGGTCTTTGGAAGCTAAGCTCATTCAAGACCACAAGCAATTGTCATCCACACACGGGGCCAGTACATCCAGAAGCGTGTCATAAGTTCGTCATTTTTACTCCGAATGCCAGTGGCAGTAGCTGGCGATGGACTGGTAGTGTATATTGATTTGCGTCCGGTATTTGCTTCGTGGGTTGAAACCGAAGTTACATACACTTCATTGAATCAAATCATGTGAAATCCTCGATTGCTCATATTCCGGTTACTAACTAAGGTGAAACTCGCATTCATGGGTCAGTTGAAAGAGTTAAGAACAAGAAGCTCAAGGGCTGGACTACGTACAATGGACGGATATGAGAGACTGGGAGACCACATCTAAAATGCATTTGCTGACAACATCATAGGTGAAGCATTCTGATTCGGTAGCTTCGTCACGTAGATATTTTGCCAGAGTGGGACACAGTCTTTCCACAACTAAGAACTGAGAGAAAATGGCGGTGGCCCCAAAGGCACCAGTCGATCGAAGCGATCCCTCAGCCGTGACTCGTGTTTCCGTCTTATGCACTGCCTTCTTGACACAGCTGCTCTGATTCATTCCGGCTATGGCTCGGGTGTATCGTCTCATAGTGTTTCTGCGGGGAGTAATGGCAGATTCTCGTAGAGCAACACACCGACCTTTGGCAAGCTTCCTCCTTGTTCTCTTGTCTTGCATCTTCCTTTGCAATTTCTTTCTGCGAAGAATGATCTCTTGGATGGCACGCAGATTCTTAACAATTTCTTTCTACAGACTGGGCAGAAAGTAAGAGGCTTTTCCCTTCTTACATGCCACTCATCATTGGGGAAAGTTTGAGTCGTGCCGCCTTCAATGACATGATCTTCAAATTGCTTGACTGTCCAAAGAAGACCTGAGCGGCCAACAGGTACATACTTCTGTTCCAGAATCTCTCGAACAACCCGACCACGCTCACGACTGTTCTTCTTGAAAGACGTGATCACTGCTATGGCCTCCCGTCGATCGTAAACAGAGCATTGGATGGAGGTGGAGCCAGGGATTCTTCGGCAGTACTGTTGTTAGCTGCTATTGATGGAGCTGACTTCCTTTTAGCCGCTGGTGTAGTTACAGTTGTAATGGTATGACTGTCATGGATCATAGCTTGAACTTTTCCAATGGGAGTGGGTGGTATCTGTGTGTTGGTTGGAGCATTTTCCCGATTGGCTTTATCAATAATAGCCAAAGCCCGAGTATCAAAGCCAGGAAATGGAGCAAGTTTCTGCAAATTCTTGTCAATATCAGACGAGGATTGCTTCAAGTACTGACTAACTGTGGTGAGTTCCTCGGCAGCTTTCCTCTTTTGTGCTCTAGAAGAGGTGCGGTCTGTAAGTACACCATGAGCATCGGTAATCCAGTACTTTAGATGCCTCTGACATTGTCTTCCCTGTCTGGGTCAATTTTCCAAAGGAAGCTACCCCAGCATCAATTTTGGTGGTTCTTTGAACAGGAGTGACAGGTTCGGCCCTTCTACCCTTGCTGTTGGGAGTCATGTTTGTAGGCATAGCTCTATTGGTTGGGCCCAATAGAGCAAGCAGTGGGGCCAGAGACTAGCTGACCTGTATTGCACAGCAAAAAATGTAGAAAAATGGCTGCCCCACTTCGCTAGCCATTCGTCCCTTCCACAGCCAGCAAATGGGGAAGCCACTACCACCACTGCGACCGCCACGTCCAAATTATGTATCCCCCTATCTCATAAGTTATTGCCAGGTTGACTCTATTGGTTAAACTGCTATGGGTATATCTACCAACTCACTATGATGCTCAAAAATGAAGATAATGAAAAATGGGAGTTCAGATCAAAGTGTTGTGCCGATCGTGAAGTGAAGTTCCGCTCGGAGCTGAATTTACCCCTTTTTACCCCATCCTCGGGAGGTTTCGCTCAATAATCCAATGGTTGGCACGATCCAATGGTTGGGCTGTGAGTAGCATTGCGCACATAATAATTTCAGTGAGATCTTTGTGAAAGTTAGCCCCTGCATGGTAATGGTAAAGAAGCATGAGTCAAGAAGAAGGAAGCAGCAACAGCAACAGCAGCAGCAGCAGCACTGATGATGAAAGAAGGGTCGAGGATGGTAGTGAAGGTGCGGATGAAGAAGATACGGACGGTGCGGGAAAGGAAGAAAGCGAACCCAACTTTATGGAAGTGATCGTGGGCAAAGTTATTCGAGAACTCACCAATGCCAGGGAAGCCTTCGATGACTATGCCAACCGTGATGCGGATGGTCAACAACAGCAGAGCGCAGTAGAAAGAATCAGCCCAGGACGTCTCAGCTTCTTCAGACCAAAATCCGCAGAAAGTAGCAGTGACCACAGTAAAGATGAAGAATCAGCGGTGGTTCAAGAAGCGTCCCCACATGTTGATGAGTCCATGGATCTTTCCATCTCTCGCCATCATGTGTCCAATCACACAGCCGCCGTCTTGTCTCTTACTTTGGAAGAACCCAACCAGGTTTCTATCTCTGTGTGTGATCTCTTTGCTCGTGAAGACCAAGTCCTTCCCGGAGCATATTCTGTGTCTGGACCCAGACCTGAGGACATTTCCACTGCGGTTGAATCCAATGCCAACCTTATTGATGATGCAGACTACAATGAATCCAATCATTCTCCAACTGCCACACCTGCGGATCCAGAGGCAGTCTTGGCCACAGCCAACCCTGTATCAGAGATCCCCCGTGCACAGCCTGAACCGGATGATTTTGTGGCAAGTCAGCACAAGAGAAGAAAGTCGACAGAGCACAAACGTATCCGGGACATGCGTGCTATGCGAACATGCATTGTTGCAGCACTTCTTGTCATGGTCATTGCGGTGGTTCTGAGTTTCCATCTCAAAAGCCACTTCAACGATCAGCCCGCGGCGGGTCGCTCCAATAATCCCTGCCACATCGATCCCAACGTTGGTGACATCCCTAGGAAAGACTACATGCTCTCCCTTTTACCGGATTATACTAAGGAGGCCCTCGGTGTGACCAAGGACAACTCTCCCAATGCATCCTCGGTAATGACTCCACTTCCATTTGCAATGCTATCACCTCAGGCGAAGGCATTTAATTGGACTATCAACAACCCAAACTTTTGCTCCCACCGGTATGAACCATGGCAACTAAAACAGAGGTTTGCACTGGCCTGCTTCTACTATGCTACAGGAGGAGAAACAAGCTGGAAATCAACCGAGAATTGGTTATCATACACGATCAATGAAACTGACTGGTACTCCAATCATATTCCTAAATGGATTCCTTGGCACGACCTCCTCTACACATACAACCTATTTGAAGAAACAAGCCATCAGCTGAATCATCTGTGGCTTGTCAATAACAGCCTGGGGGGCACTATTCCTCCAGAGTTGACTCTCCTTACGTGTCTCAGGTCAATAGATGTCACCGGCAATCCAATGCTGAGGGGCCCCATCCCTTCGGAGATTGGCAACCTTCATCGGCTTGAAGTTCTAATGTTCTCAGAAAATACAATGACTGGGGAGCTTCCTACCGAGCTGGGCCAACTCACCAAACTCCTGAGTCTGACAACAGATAATAACACCTTCCAGGGCACAATCCCATCACAACTGAGCATGCTGGAAAACATGACTGTGTTGGATTTAGCTCTCTCGGGGCTTGAGGGGCGTATACCATCAGAACTGGGTATAATCCATCCCTTAGGCATTTGGTTGGAAGGAAATGATCTGAATTCCACGATTCCAACAGAGCTGGGACTCACCAGTGCTCACGTTCTGAACATCCATTCCAACATGATCACCGGCACAATTCCTTCAGAACTGGGTATGCTTTTGCAAGATCCTATTTTGTACACACCAAAGTATTATGCTTTGTTGGAAGAGAAAGCTCCAACACATAATAATAAAGAGGCACTTCTGGACATGGTGGGGAAACTATTTGAAGCGGGGTTTAATGGTGTTATCATGTCTCAAAACTTACTAACCGGATCGATTCCAACTGAATTGGGAAGATTTGCCGAGGGCGTTCGGCTGAACCTCGCTCAAAATTCCCTCACTGGGGCCATTCCAAGCGAGCTTGGGTTACTTTCTGATCTTGTGTGGCTGGATTTGAGTGAGAATCAACTGCAAGGTCAGATTCCTTCAGAGCTTGGGCTCATGCCCAATGTAAAGTACCTTCTTTTGCATCAAAACGATCTGACAGGGAATCTTCCACATGAATTGGGGTCTCTGGTTACAAGTGGATTCTTGACTGGCCTGACAATCAATTCCACTTGTGTCACGGGAACCATTCCTGAAGAGCTGTGTCACATGGGCAGGTGGAATGGTTCTTCATGGGTAGGCCTAGCATTTGATTGCAGTGAGGGCCTCTGTGGATGCAGTTGGTGTCCTTGTTTGAACAGCCCCCCAAATACCACAATCATCCCTCTACAATCACGATGCACTAACAAATCAATGACGGCCGTTCCACCCTCCTCCATTGGCGCTGCTACTCTGTCCACAACCACTTTTCACATACTACTTATCGGAGTGCACTTTCTGTTCTACTCATTCAAATAAGGCAAGCAAAACGGAATTAGAATGCTGCTACACGTAGATGATACAATGACGACATCCTGGCGGAGAGGTACACGCAAACTATACTATGTAAAGACTATCTAGGATGTAGTAGTAGTGCTTATGAACTACAGGCGCGACAACGGAAAAGCTGGAAAGGTAGCCAGGACAAGAAGACGGAACAGGAGAGTCCAATCCAATATTTCCAAGGATTCAATGCGATTACTCTTTTGATTTTCGTTTCTCCTTTTTGGCCTTCTTTGCTGCTTTCTTGGCTGCCTTTCTCGCGGCTTCGTCTTCGCTGTCCGCCTTATTGTCGCCATTCTCACCCTTTTCGTCGCTGTCATCATCGTCGTCGTCTGCCTTGCGTTTCTTGCTCTTTTTCTTTTCCGAAGATTTCTTTTCCTTTTTGGCCTTTTTCTTCTTGTCCTTGGGTGTCTTGTCACCATTAGTTTCTTCTGCTTCGTCGTCACTATTCTTTGTATCCAACACCATGTCACTGGCATCATTGTAGTTGGACGCTGACGCCCCCGTTTTCGCGGCGACCGGATCGTACCGTGCCGTTTTCTTGGCCGTCATGCCACCACTACTCGGTGTTGTTGCCACACCACCACCTTCCAATTGTCGCAATCGCGCTTCGACTTTGGCTCGTCCTTCAAATCCAATCGTCGTATCGAGTGGTGATCCGTCCAACGGATCGTCACTAAGGGCATCGACACGAATGGCCAAGGCGCACTTGGCGGCAAGGACACGACTAATCTTTCCCTTGTGTTTCGGTGGTGCTTGTCCAATGAGTGACGCGTGATAGATGAGTCCGTATTTGGGAGTGTCGTGTTTGGTTTTGAGCGCTCGAAAGAGTGCCTTTTCGCACCCAAAATTGGACGTCGATGCCGGTTGTTTGGCCAAATTCATGAGACTGCCGGCATGCGAAATGAGTCGAGCGCCTACTAGTTCTCCCACGAGAATGGTCAAGTTGGGAGCAATGGCATTCATGCGATTCTTGAGATAATCAAAGAGTTGCGCACGATATTCCGTCATGGAGAGTACCTGTTCCGCTAACGATTGAATGTGAATGACATCGACATCGGCAATCTCCGTTCCCATACTGATTTCGGCCGCTTCCTTGACGGTATTCTGTTGGGATTCATCTTCTAAAATGGAACTGAGATCGGTATTCTTGAACTGCGGTCGGAGTCCACATTTGAGTACCAATTTGGAGTAGTGTACATTGTCGGATACCAATGCCTGCAATTCTGGGAAATGCCATCCGTACCATTCCTTGACGCGCATGGCGTACGTATTGATTTCCTTGTCGAGTTCATCGAGCAATCCCACGGCTTGAATGACCATGGTATCGACCTTGTCGGCACTGAATTTGAGTTTGTATCGCCCTAACGAATGACTCAATCCCAATTGCATGGCGCGCAAATCGTCCTTGGAAACACCATTCTTGTCCGTGGAGTCATCACTGCACAGCAATTCTTCCATGTACGTGCGAATTCCCCGAAACAATTCCTGTGTCTTGTCATTGTGAACCACTTGAATGTTCTTGACATTTTCTTTGAGGGACGTGGCCATGCCCTTGTCGGCCACGGCCAGCACCGCATCCCCGTGTTGTTTGAGCTTTTTCTTCAAGAATTTCTTCAAACTGGCACTGACTTTGCCTTCAATGCAGGCCGTCATGGCCACTACGGCATCGGCCGTGTCTTGGAATGGTTCAAACGACACTGGTTCCAAAATCTTTTTGGCTTTGGTGACATCCGACGAAAAGTACTTGTCAAACAAATCGTCTGCGTCCGTCTTTTGAAACTTTTTCTCGTCTGCTACCTAATATCATCCATACACAGTCAAAAGAGAGGGGTATTCATTTGTTAGGATATGTAAGATAGATGGGTATACATCAATCGAAAGAGTCGAGCCACAAAGCTAAGGAAGGAACCTACCTTGAACAGAGAGTACCCGGCAGGGGTTTCAAATAAAACCAACATGATGCTGTAAAGGAGGGGATACGGATGTTCTGACAGACAGGGGTATCCAAGGGTATAATGATACTGTATAGACTTGGAGAGATTGATCTACACAAATGCCCACAGATTGTCTGAGGTACTAGCTAGCTAAGTGTACTGTTGAGAATGAGGGTTGGCAATGTATTGACGTCTTGGTTGGCAACAGCGCTGAGATGAGATAGAGCTGATGAAGGATGAGCTGAGAGTTTGGTTTGTTGCCATGGTCGAAGAGATCGGCACTTCCCAATTTCCGGTGGTGGAGGTGGGTGTGCAACCCAAGATCCAACTCCACGAGAGTTTTAGAGAAAGATCCTACGGCGCGATTGCGCGAACGTGAATTACTGACAGCTTCCAGTCATGAGAAAGTTAAGGTTAACGCTTACGTTAAGGATAAGCATAAGCATAAGCCACCGAGCGCACACCTTGAAATTCCCAATGCGACCTTCGGATCTCTTCTTGCCAGGTGCTTGACCAGGTGTTGCCATCATGCAGAACTGTTGTTGGATCGACAAACCTAAAAGAGGGACAGCAAAGAAGAGAAACGTTTCATGTCTGGCCTGCATTCTTTGCCAGACAACAGTGCAGCGAAGTCAACTCACTCACCTCGAGCAGCAGCTGAGTAGCTGAGCAAGTAGCGATCACAAAACCCAGTCCAACCTGGTATCCTTTCTTCTTTTTCCCTTCTCGTTTCAACGGCTACAAGCTAGATAGCTGACAATTCAATTGATGATGATGATGATGAACGGTTTCCTCTTGAGATTCGTATTGCTCGCGTCGTCGGCCGCTGGCAGCTTGGCATGGCCCAATGCAGAGTTGAATTCTCGCGAGTACAAGGCCATGTTGCAAGCGTCCTTGTTTGCCAGTCCTTCCGAAGAGCAACGTGTAGACACAGTCATGGCCGTCTTGGAGGAGTTGCAAAAGGACCTGACAGTGGTGGCAGCCGCCGCCAATGCAGTCGACACCCAAGGAGAGTTTGAACTCAAGGAAGATACCCCTCGATTGGTGCGGTACTTTGACACTCCCGGCAGCTGTTTGTTGCGTCACAATGGATTGACCATGCGACTTCGACGTCCTTTGGACGAATGGTCCAATGATCCCTGGGAGGCCATGCTCAAGGCTCGCAGTGGGGATCGGTACCATAGTACAGTTAGGATGCCGTATGTAGAAGGGTGCAACACTGACGTTTCCCAGGACTACAAGAACAAGTTTGAAGAAGATCTTGGTCATTTTGACTGGACCGGTAGTGTCTACAGTTTCAGTCAGAAATGCTATTTTGGCATGAAGGATCTGCCAAAACACAGCAGGGGCAACTTGAAAACGGTTTCCACTGTATGGGAGAATACAAAAGACTTGTTCCAGAAGGATCTCGGATTTGATGACACTGTCATGGCCACACCCTTGGCTTTGGTCAGCAACACTACCATTACAGAGGTTGCCTATGAAGACTTTTGGGTCTATCTGGATGATGATGATTATGGTGATGATGAAGCCATTGCACAGGCCAAAGTCACTCTCTGGTACAAGACCCAGGATGGGATCCGAGCCGATAGCGGCGACCATGAAATGATCGACTACACGGGGGTTGGGGACCCCATTGTCGCCGAACTGAGTTTTCGAATCAAGAGTGAGCATGAAGAATGGTCGGATGATACCATTGTGAATATGCACAACTTTTGGGAACAGTTGGGCAAGTCTTTGTCCAAAAAGTGGTTGGACGCAGAAAGTATGTCCAAGACTTCCTGGATCTATCAGTACGATCATGACTTTTGTCATCCCAAAGATTCGGATGGAGACGAGTCAAGTTGAAATCTCCCATGGGTCGGGTCCTCATGACAAACTGCAAGGAATGCATAATACAGACACCATACATTCATCATTAGAGTTGAGCTACAGCAGGCAGGCTTAGTAGTTCGAAGTAACAACCATTGAAAGATACACGTTTTAAAGCTTACAAGTTAGTCCATCAGAATAGCTTATACATCGTACGGTACAAACTTTCGAGAAGAGGACATGTTTGGTGTGCACGAGACGCACGAGACGAGAAGGTGAAGGGTCCGAGAGCATAACTTATTACACGGGGTAGTAGTGGCAAACATGATAGATGGCAAAGTCTCAAAACCGCCTGTCCATCCTCATGATAGGTTAACCCAGCAAGAAGCTGAATGGGAAAGTTGGGGGTGTTCAGATAGAGGCCACCAGATCCCAGCACCCTAGAATATTGGATACTGGAACAGGAAAGGCGAACTTGACGCAGCATCACCAAAATCACTTGAAACAGGGGACCGAGCCAGAGCTCAAAAGGAAAAGCTGGTTGTCCCTGTTTTCTTCTTCAAGCACCATTAACTAACAAAGCTCTGCTTGATCCACCACTAATCTTACCGAAAGTTCTTGGGTAGCACTAAAGGGCGAAGTGTTGTAACCAGTAACACGGCCCTCGACTGGCTGCCTTTCTTGTTCCACAAGAGTAAACGCGTCGTCATGCTTGAACGCCTTTCGTCGTTTTTGTAGTTCCTTATCCGCTGCTTCCTCCTCGGCAGTGAACACTTTGGTGGTTCTGGAAATGAGCTTCAATAGGATTTCCAACTGAGGAGTGGACGGCATGTCTCCCTTTAAAACAGCCCTCAGATCCTGCACCAGCATGGCTTCCGGAGTCGGATCGCTGGTTGGGTAGACGGTTTTCTGGAAAAAGACCCACGATTTTTTCTTTTCTTCCGTGAGAATGCCACGAGAGATCAATTCCCCAAACGTCTCCTTTTCTAGCTCGTAACCAATACCCTTGCGCTTTTCAAAGTTGGCATCTCCAATATGCAACAAAATGAAATCGTTCAAGGAAATTGGATTCTTCCCCGACGCCCGACGTTCGTCTTGATACCCTCCTAAATGTTGCAACAACTTGGTCGTCGCTGCCACCTCGACGCCGTTTGTAGAGGAAATCATCAATCGTAGCTTTCCATATTGCCCTTTGAGCAAACTGGTTTTGAATCCCCAGTAGAGTTTGACGCGACCCGCAAATAGCAAGTCGATCAAATGGGCTGCCATCAACCGCGCATTACTATCTTCGCTGTGCGAGATCCTGCCCCCCTGATCGTCCTGTTGCCACAAGAGTGCGTACGCTTCTCCAAAAGATAGATTGGAGCGGTGCCAAGACCGAAGACTGCTGTCCGTATTGACATCGACGGAATCTCCCAAATATAAAAGCGAAGAAACAATCTTGGTGGCTTCGGCGGCAGCCCGCTCCATTTCGGCCGCGGCAGCGGCACCAGCAGCAGCCATGGTGGATTAATTAATTGCTTTTTCGTTAGTCAATATCGTAGCCCTATAGGTGTCCCAGAAGCTTGCCTACCTATCGATGGCACCTCCTCTCCTTTGGCTGTTGACGTGTTGACATTGAGTCGGGCTACAGTATCTTGGTTTCAAAGATCGAAAGATCGAGGGTGGAAGCAAGCAGCAACTTGGCTGATTTCTTGTGACATTGTGACGTCAGTCGACGAGTTTCGGCCCCACAACATCATCAGCATGCCCCTCGTCTTCGTCTCTTGTCTCTTCTGTCATTTTCACACCATGATGCTGCGCTTTGGGCACCCTTCCCCATGTGTCTTATCGTTGCTCCTGTTGGGTCTATTATTTCCATGCAGCAGGCAACAACATCATGTCGACGCATTTTCGTCGCCGTCCCCGTCATCACAGATTCATGAGTTGCTCTTGTCACGTCGCACCATTAACAGTTTTGAAGCCGAGCTTCCATCGTACTGGGAGATGAAACTGACGGCAGCCGTGGAAGCTGCCACCTTTGCTCCCAATCACAAATTGACCGAACCCTGGCGATTTCATTTGCTGGGAAACGAGGCTATTCAAAGAGTCTGCGAACTCAATGCCGAACTCGTATCTTCTAGTAAGGGGCCGGCAGCCGGGGCCAAAAAGTTGGAACGATGGTTAGCCATGCCGGGGTGGTTGGTGGTGACGCAATTAGTGAGTGATGACAATGACAATGATAATAGCTACGACAATCCCATGAGCATGGCACGGGAAGATTATGCCGCCTGTTGTTGTGCTGTCCAGAATCTCTCTCTCAGTTTGCATGCCAATGGAATGGGCACCAAATGGACCACGGGACCGGTCAACTTTGATCCTCGCTTTGCCGAGGCAGTTGGACTGCCAGAGAATGAACGAGTAGTGGGGACCATTTGGTTTGGAAAACCTGTCAGTGTACCATCGGCGCCCAGAAAGAAACTCTCGTTGGACAATGTCCTGATTAAACATGCATGATTGATTGATTATAGCTCTCGGGCATGAGTACTGGAGCACCTTAGTTAGCATGAGTATTTAGCCCGAATCTCTAGCTAGCTGTTCGTTCCAGCCATGTTACTGCTGGTAACTAACTCATCAAAGGAATACATGGTTTTGCACGTTGAAGGTGAAAAGAGAGTGCCTCTGAAACATTTTGTATCAAAGGCAAAAGCACAGAGAGCTGCAAAAGGTAGGCTTAGATATTTCAGGCTACGTACCCTCGGCTGTGGTATACATCGTACTAGTAGTTGCTTGCGCGCAGCCTTTCGGTGAATCATTTCCCAACGCCATGTGTGGCACAGTACCTGCATCATAAAGAGATGAAAAGATGTTGCTTTGCTGCTTGCGATGGCGGATGGCCCGTGAAAGCGCTTACTTGTGCAAGCGGACAATCGCCATTCTCTGTTCGTGGAAACGAGTTTGATGGCGCCGCAAGGCATTGCAAAATTCAAAAAAGACAATGCCCCGGGAAGTAATGACCAGTCGTTCATCTGGTGCCTCAGCCATTCGGTACCAGTGAGTAGAATCAAATAATATGATACTGAGAGTCGTTACTAGCTAGGGGAGGATGGGTTAAAGAGGAGGAGGGCAGGATGCACGAACAGAAGCCGAACAAGCTATCGAGTGAGCAGAAGAGCAACAAAACCAAAGAGGAAGGAGGTGCAAGGTAGGGGGGCAGGGAGGATCAAAAGGGTCAGAAGACTACAGTCACTCGTGACGGTAGTGGAAGAGATCAAGGGCAAAATGATACAGGTGCTGGTGACAAAACACTACGACTGTCACTCGTACTGGCGTGGTAGCTAGGGTATACCGCTGACGAAGCGATCCTTCGCTCGATGAACTTGAAAAGCGCCAGTCTTACCTGTGATGACAACCATTAGACACTCGGAGCAGCTCTCGGAGCAGAACAGCCTTGGCTTGGAGGAAGGAAGGAATCTGGCAAGCAAGAGCTATCGATGCAAGCAAAGCACAAAGTTGTTGCGGCTGAGCTCTTTGCTTTTTGGCAAAGATTGAAACAAGCATTTCGTTCGATGAAGTTTTACGCCTGTGGTCACCCCAATAAATCCTTGAATGATGCATTCTCCTCAAAGCACCTTTTTCAATTAACTGCTGGCATATTCGTTAATTAACCAAGGCACTCCCACCAAAGAGCAAGCAATGCTGCACACACACACACAACTCGATCACAGATCCTTCCTCCTTTCCCCATACGGTATACTTCCTCCTTTTGTCCGCACCCACCATGTCGGTAGTGCTCGAAGACATAAACCAACCAGAGAGATTGCAAACAACCCAAACGAATCGAATCGAATCTATCAACCCTAATTCGATCATGGCATCTTCATCATGCGCAGAGAATGAGCAGTTCCTCTTCCGAGCTTGGCTAATCCTTCTTGCCGTCATTTGGACTGGCATCGCGGTAGCCGCGTTGCTTCTGCATGAGTACTTGGTTAACTCAAAGCAAACACTCAAGTGGCTTGACTACACCAATACCATCTGCTTCTTTCTCCTCTCCATCAGAGTATTTATGCATCACACCACCCTTTCATGCCTTCACAAGTGGAGCAAGACATTCAAAACTCTTCCAAAGCAAGTACAAGATGACAGCGCCTTTGCCATCGTTGACAGCATTTCTGTCCTCTTTTTTGGGCCCACTTTGGCATATGCCGTTGTGATGAAGGCGTTTACACTCGACAGCGAGGAATACTTTGCCACTGCAATTCCTGTGATCAAGGCGTTCTTTCCGTACTATATGATGGACCGGGCCCTTCATATTTGGGTGAATCCACTTCCCCAGCGTGCCATTCATCACTTTGTAGAGATCTGTGCGTTACTCTTGGTTTTGGAATGGAACCCTTCCACGGGGAGTCTATGTGTGCTAGTGTATGGAGGGATACTCGACACCTATCTCAAACCAGTGAATGGCTGGCACATGGTGTGTCGGTACACCAGAATGCATGCACGGAACCATCCCGAATGGTCCAATGGTGGTGATGGCAGAAGTGGCATTGACTGCTTTTTGGTTGCTGCAAGTCCAGGACAGATGGCATTCTTTGGAAAGATTGCAGCCTGCTATGCATACTTGTTTACTCTCGTTATCCCCCCAGGTTTGTTGGTGGCTTTTCTTGCCCTTAATTGGCAGGAAATATCCTTAGGCTACAAGATCATGCAGCCTGTTGTGCCAGTCATCTTCAATCTCATTGATCTACCCCTGCACAAAGCATCCTGGAACACTGGCCAGCTATGGTACTGGCAGCAATCATTTGGACCTAAGAAAGAAGCTGTTGTCAAAGAAGACCCTAACTCGATCCAGGAGTTGAACGGCATGTCCACAACTTGCAGCACGCAACCTTGCCTCTCCACTTGCATCTCCTTGCCGAATAGCACTGATGGGATTGACATTGAGTCTTTAGATGACGTCAATGTGTAACTGCTTGATGATGGATAATGTTGCGAGATCTGGGTTCTGGGGTAGCATTTGATACGAAATGTGTCTGGATTACTATCAGAACACGTACGGAAACAATTCTTGTACATAGTACATGGAGATAAAACTAGAACTTCTACAGTACTTTACTTGTTCAAACCAAGCTACCTATAGCATGGGGAGTGGGTGCAAACAAACTATGATCTCTGACAACCTGTTGGCTCCTTCAGGTAGCAACGTAAACAACTTCCTCCCTGCTGCTAGCTAAGAAAGTTGCGCAATTCCTCTGCGCTTTTTTCGACGGGCAGCGTCGAGGTTCCAAACTACTAGCTAGTACGGTACAGGTGAGGTTGCAATGTTATTACGTGTACCGCGGCGACCACAGGAAGACAACTTTGGAAATCAGGACCTGGTAGACTACGAGTTGTAGTTGCGGTAAATACAAAAATGAAAAGTAATATTTACCTTCAACCCTAAGTTTACCTCAGCTACCTTTCTAAACTGTCTTCCGGCTCCACACAGGAATGCCTTCTTGAACTCTTGAACTTTTCTCGCTTCTCGTTCAAGAGAACATCCTCGGATCTTCAAGGAATGCATGAATGACTAAGTCGAGTCATTCTTAGCTTATTTAAGAAAGACGTAAAGACGTCATTGAATTGAAGATTGGAGCCTTGCTGCGATACATAACTGTACGTGTACATACAACATGTACATGTACAATGATGTACATGTACATGTATGCATACATGTAGCTTACAAGTACATGTCGGAGTAGGGCTGGTCAGGGCGTGGTACTCACACTGTTTTAGCATGTGAGTATGGGTACTGAGTAGTACTCACAATTCCAAAGTCAAGTGAGTATGGGTACTGGGTAATACTCACAATTCCCAGGGTCAAGTGAGTACGGGTATCATGTGAGTACAGGTACTTTGTGGTACTATAGAGTACTCACTGAGTACTCATAAATCAATTACTTAGGGAAATTATACTAGTTTTTCTAGTTCTGGGCTGGGGGCTCATCAATCTTTTTGTAAAGGTCCAACATGACATCAATATCACTGTCATAATCCTCCTGTTCACATCTGCTGGCAGGGCATTTTAGCTTGAGGAGACCTTGGTACTATTCTTAGCCCATTCCTTTCTTGCATCATTGATGCATTGCTTGTAGTTCTGGATGAATGCACTGTTCTTGTAGCAAAAGAAGGCGCATTTGGAATGTCATGTCAACTTTCTGTCCATTGCTTCTCCTC